CAAGAGATCTGTTAGTTAAATAGCGTACGAATAACCGTCCACAGTGACAAAGTATTCAAGGATGGAGTAATTGTGTCAAGATTATTAATAAGGGAATACTAATGAGTGCATGAGAGAGAGAGTTCGATTATGTTTATCGCAAGTTTATATTTCGCTTTGTCATTTGTTTCGTGCTTATTCTGTCTTCGTCTTTAACAATTACATAACCCGGTCTGCGCCGATAGGAATGGCTGGACTATTTGCAAGAAGAATATGAAGAAAGTACACGTAAAAATAGATAGAAGGTGCGTAGATCCAGGCTTTCCGTGTGCGCTCTTCTCCCCCAGTGTTTACGAGACAAACATTAACATACGGGTAACAATGAGAGGATTGGTCGTTGATATTCGACTTTTAGCTATTTGAAATTTTGATCCATCTCCTCTAAAATTCTGAATATAATTAAAACTGAATGTTAATAAAATTCTGCCATAAATATTGGTCCAAATAAAACAAATATCTATAGGGATAATATCTGTGATACATAATTTCTATTGAATTTTATATTCATAATTGAATTTATATTGCATTGTTGTGTTTAATAAAAAAAATCAAGTGCGACAAGTTTATATTCAATATTTTATAAATTATCAGATTTTATTTTTAATAATAATCGTGACAAAAATATGATCGTAAAAAAATATAATTGACTTGTTTTCTGTAAGTCCGTAAAAATAACTCGTGAAAAAATAGCCTGGCGAATATCAGGGACTGAATCGAAATGAAGAGCCAATCTAAACAATTTGTATTAACCCGGATATGTAATTTTCTTTGCAGACTATCTCCCTGGGAATCAGACCAACTGCACAGACCTGCACATCTGCAGAAAATGCGGGAACATGTACGTGTATTACAGCTCGTTGACGAGACACATGCGGGAGGAATGCGGAAAAGCGCCGAAATATCAATGCCTTTATTGCCCAAAGAGATCGAAGTTACATTGCAACCTGTTGAAGCACATGCGAACGAAGCACGGCTTTGAGCAGGGCTGAGAGCTCCGGAAATGGACGGTGGGAGTGATGGTGGCACCGGAGGGCGGCAGGACGGGGACGAGACCAAAGTTGAATTCTAAATATACGAGATTGATAACAATTTTTCTACGATCGTCCAGTAATTTTACCAAGCGTGAAACACAAGTTGAAAAGATGACAATTCTACGAAAGTTACGTTCGCATGTCGAGCGCTCTTTTGTATCAACCCCTTTGGCATAATTTTTCGTAAGAACGCGGATTGTAAAATAGTGTAAATTTCTGTGTGACTGCATGCATATCGCAAATAATATCACAAATGCCTTTGTAAATAAATATTTATTCACTCCGATTTGTATAAAACCGATATTATTTACTTAAGCTTCGAGAAACTTAATTTTGTTTCACACATTTAACTAAAGTGCCAAATGGTTTGTAAAAAAAATATGGATAATTATATAAATTATATAAATTATATAAATATGGATTATACTCTATTTTTGATCTACGAGATCTTTGCCTTTTGAGAAACGAATCAAAAACTAATTGTTATTTCTATGAAAGATAATGATTTTCTGATATATCGCTATATCAAGAATACCAAATATGTATTAATTGCCAAATTAAAGAGTTGATTGTAAGAGCAAGTTTATTGTATTATATTGTTCTTAACGGCACTAAAACGGGATTATGCATGCATAATAAAGCTAATATATTGATTATGTACACCTGTTATTATCGTTTCTATTGTTTGAACTTATCGTATTGTTAATCGTATCCAATATAATCTATACTAATGCGCCTTTAATTAAAAAAAAAAATGTATCGTTTCCTTATAGAAACAGCCGACGTCCCCAATTAAACTTGCATAATCCCACAGTGTTGTAACTGAAGTTCGAAAGTATCCGTACATTTAAAAACTGATTATTTGTTATTTGTGCACTTAGCTCTGCGACCTAAATTATTGATCTATTGGCCGGACAAAAGAGATCAAGTTATGTACACAGGAGGCACGGTGCGATGAAAATTAGAAATCGAACCGAGACCCGTTCACGTTTGCCTGAAAGACATTGATGTTCCTCGCGTGTCCTGATCGAAGTCGCTGACGAACCTACGTGTTGCTTTCTTTTTCAGAATACAACACCTGTCTGGCCTGCTCGAAGTCGTACAAATGGAAGAAGTCGCTGCACCGGCACGTGCGCGAGAGCCCGGAATGCTGGCCGATCCTCCTCACTTCCGGCAACGGCGAGTTCATTCGGCAGATCCGGTACAGGATGTTGTGCAACACCAAGAACTGAAAGGACCGAATTTGCGACCGCTGTCGATTAAGTGACCGTCTGACCGAATGTCTTTACTGTTATATTTGGAATATTTTTTATAAAAATAAATCTTATTTTATTGTGGCATTACGCCGTTGCTACATCTTACTTTTCATCTGCGAAAGCATGAAAACGGATGAGTCGTCATTTATTAATGAAACAGTATTCTTATTATTGTTCCTTTTCCCGAAGGTTTTATTAATCACAAAGAAATAATTTGATAAAACAATTTTTTAAGAATTGTGTTCTATACATATGGATACATGTATAGAATATATTCTACATGTAAAAGAAGAGAGCGTTCTTAATTTTTAACTGCTAATTATTTATACCGTATTTATTATTTAATCTTGACCGACGATCTAAATTCGAAAGTGTGTCATTAATTTATTAATTTTTTTTTCGTTCATGCTATTCATTGCTGTATACGCACAATAACGCATAAAACTATGGAGATAATTTAAATTATGACATTTCATTTTCTTCAGGGCTAGTGCGATTTTATGTTAAAAAAAAACCACGTAGTTTATGTTTCCCAATCCTGAAATGTTATACATATAGAAAAATATGTATAATATTCCTGTATTCCTGTTATGTTTATATAAGGTGATATACCTGTCCTAATGGACACGTTTAATATATATTTAATCGTATCCCTTAGGATAATAGTAAATACATATTAATGCCTCAGCCTTTCTAACATGTTTAATGGCGAAATTAAATCCTAATTCTCTTTAATTGAAAAGTCTTTTTACAGCAAGATAGACAACCGTGAAAACAAACTGAAAAGAAAGAAAAAACGCTACATCTCCTGTACGCTATCTTCGTCATTCCCCCGACAAGACGTTATTATTGACACGACAGTTTTTCACAAATTGCTCGCCGAGCCTGAATCTTGAAAACGCTTGGAAAATTATTAACATTGACATAATGATTCCTTCAGTGCATCTCCTCTCCTATTCTAAATCTTTGATTCGGCAGGAGCTGACTCAACCAGCGGAAACTCAGCTAATCGAAGGCCAATACGCACTCCGCACTCCGCACTACGCACTATCGAACGCCGCTCACAGATTGTCAGAACAAGCACTAACATGCCGTCTGTGACCCTCTGTTTCAGGTCAAGCCGTCGGGCCCGCCATCCCTCTCAGGAAGCCCTTTCCCTGCACGCACTGCGAACGCAGCTACAAGAATAAGAGCTCGCTGAATCGCCACATGCAGTACGAGTGCGGCAGGAATGTGAAATTTATATGCCCGATCTGCCAAACAAGAGTGTTAACGAAGAGAAGCCTGCCCAAGCACATGCGCGTCATACACGGGATTTGAACGAGTTATAGAGAGATAGAAAGAGACAATACAGAGAAAGAGAGAGATTTTCTTTCGTTGAGAAATATTCGTTCGTTGAGCATCGATAGATTGAGTTTAGTTGCGTTTTATTTGTCGACGCAAACAAGTTAAATAAATAGATTGCATTTATATCTTTGTTATTTCATCACATCTCGTCTTTTCACGGGTACTCCAAAATTTATGTATAATATATGTATAGTTGTCGATATATACTTTTTCTTATGCATACATATACGAATGTATACGTGTATGAACATTATATATCACATTGTATTATATAAATCTTCGAGATCACATGTACATTTAAAAAAAAAAACAATCGTTTCTTCTTTCGATTTTGACTTGGTGGTTCACAACGCGGGGTCGTTCTACGTCGTCGCATCTTGTTTTTTGGGTATCTTGTTTGGAGGGTTGGGGAAACTGGTGTCTTCTCACTCGAGGTGGAAAGGCTGGAGCATGAGGAGGGGCTGTTCGTAATTCGCGAGAGAAAAATCTGCCGTTTGGTTAACATCACGTCGTTACTTTCGTCGTGAATATCGCTTGTATATGCAATATATGTTTCCGTGAATCGTGAAAGAGTACCGTTCGTGAATTAAAATGTAGTGATTTTGAAGCCTCCTCTTGTCCATCATTCCCGCCTCGCGCAGTTTATTTCACGCCTCTTCACACAGCCACGTATCCTTGGCGAAATTTGATCCTGGGCGCACTTATCTTCGGGCTATTGGCTGATACATTGTGTGTTGGGTTGGTTATGGGTTTAATCTCACTGATCTCTGCCAGTCGCATACATCTTGAAAAACATCTTTGTCCCCCCCCCCCTTTCTTCTTTCCTTGTCTTCCCTTATTCATTTCGTGCGTTTTTGTCGTCGTCCAAACGTGAAATCGTTATCCACGGCTATTTTTACGGTTTTCGAGTCAGATCATGCCCGACTCGTGACAAAACTATTTTACGAAAAAGATGGTTCAAAAGAAGACGTGTTTATATACACATTAAGCCTTTAACAGAAGAGATTTAACAATTTTAATAGAACAGCGGAATAATTTTGCTACGTCGTCACAGGCATGATCTTGACTGAAGCGAACGACGATAATAACGGCGAACTCGGCACGCGGAATCGGCGGAAGCGTCACCACGGAAGCGTTAATTCCTCGTGCGAACACATTTCCCCACATTTCCCCCGATGCCGCGTGGCGCTGCGAGGACCGTCTCCGTAACGGTGCGAGACCGAGCGGGCGAGCGAGCCAGCACAAGCTAACTGTATTTTTTTCCCTCAAAGATTTAATCTCGTTACCACCTTCGCGCCTCCGCCGGCGCTGGGTCCCTGTTGCAGGCATGGGCGCGCTGCTGACCCTGCTGCGTTCCGACCCGAAGAAGCAGCCGTCGACGAAGAAGGGCTACCGTGCGTCCGCGCCGACGATGACGACGCGGGCCAACATCGCCATGGCGAACAGACGTGCCAGCAACAGCAACATCGCCGGCGGCGACAACAGCTACGACGACAGCAGCGGCGGCGGCGGCGGCGGCGGCGGCGGTGGCGGTGGCGGTGGCGGCGACAGCAGCGGCGGCCGCGCCGCGTCCGCCCGCGAGGTCGTATTTCCGGATTCGTTCGAGGTGCTGCCGCAGCCGCACGACCTCAGCGTCGTCTTCATGACCGGCGTGTCGCACGAGCAGCAGCGGAAGTTCCGCTGCCGTTTCTGCGGCAAGGGCTATCGCTGGAAGAGCACGATGCGTCGCCACGAGATGGTCGAGTGCGGCGGTAAGCCGCCGGCCTTCCAGTGCCCGCAGTGCCCGTACAAAGCGCGACAACGTGGTAATCTGACCGTACATTTTAAGCGGCATCATCAAAAGATGGGCTACGACGAAGGCTCCTCGGCGTCTTAAGCATTCTCATTGCAGGGCAGGGGGGGGGAGGGGGAGGGAAGGATACTTCCCGAGTATTGAACAAATGTGCGAGGTCCAGGCCCTTCGAGGGATCTTGAAAGTCCCTCGAGTTCGCGGCTTTTCTCTTTGACCCTCTTTTAGCCGATTCCAACTCTATGATGAACGGCGTTGCGATTTAAAGATCACACGAACTTTATCGATGGATATCTCGCACGAGATATACAATTAATGTTTCTTCGATAATTTCGACTTGAGAAGCAATTTGCAAAATTAAACTTCTAAACTGTAATAAATTCTGAGGTTAATCGGATACTTACAATTAATTTAAATACTCATTTTGGCTTCTGACTTGTGATTTTAAGAGAAAACAGCACAATAGTGTACTGTTGTTGAACAATAAAGAGAAATAGATCAATCGTTTTGTGCGATGAAATATGTATCGCATTCAGCATATTTTTAGTCATTTTTTGTGAATCTTATTTTGAAATGAAATGGTTTGATTAAAACCTTTTTAATCGAGAATTTTTTTCTATCATATTTTAATTCTAACATTATTCAATTGGACTGTTATCCGTACAGAGGGTTAAAGTTACAAAGCTGCATATATTAAATCCGATCCAATACGTTAAAATGTTCACTTTTTCATATTTTTTTACAGAATTTAATAACATATATGTTACAACATATTGACTCATGTTATAGATCTGCTAATGTTTAAAGCTACTACTGTAAAATGAGAGATTTAAGACACATCATGTTTTCTAATATTTGCGGGAACATATACAAATTATTCAATAAGCCTCGCGGAAACAATTCCGAAAATTGTGCAAAAAAAGTCCGAACAAATATTTTTTGGAATTATCAGTTTTTTAAAGCGTTATACTTTTTTTTTAATCGCACCTAAGAGGATTCAGCAATTTTTCGTTTACCTCATCACATAAGATTTTTACGTGAATTTACATGGTACACACATTTACAAACACCCGTCTACTTTTTCTACTTCTTATTCTTAATCTCTTAATCTACTTCTTATTTAACGCCGCGCTTAGCGCGAACGTGGCCGATTTTGAATCTTAACGTTTTGTTAAATAACTTTTTTGTAAGATAAGAAACGGACAGCTACGACTCTGAATACGTTCAGAAACGCACGGGCCAAAGCGTTTCAATTTATTTGTAAGATATTGGGTTACTTAAGGAATTTAGAAGAGCATTGTATTGGTTTAATTTTACTTGCTGGGGGTTGGTGATATAAATTTTAAGTTAATAACTCGCGTAACTCTGCTGCTTTGATTTGTAAGCCCACGTGATCACATTTTTACTGTGCACGGCGTGAATAATTTGTCATCTAAAATCTATCGCTACGCTATAGTATCGTCGCAGTTGTTTTGCACAAGACTTATAGTGAGAGGAAAAAAAATGATAGTATTAATTTCTTATCTATTTATTAAGATTTGCGTAAGAATACGTTATGCGTAATTCTTAACATATATTTTTAAAAGAACCTTTTGAAGAAAAGCACATTTAGGGTTCCTATTTATTTTATTCTTTATAAATATATTCTAGAAAATTATATATCATTTATATACTATATACATACATATATAATATATATTATCATATATTTATATATCATACATAAATATATGATATATAAATAATATATATTAGAGAGACACGGATATTGGATATGTACCTATATATACTGTTTACTCTCTTAAAAACATACATAAACGTATTTCTTTACACTAATCTTGACAAATAGATAAGAATATTAGACTTATTATAATTTTATTTCGCACTATATGTCTATGCCACCAAAGAAATCGCACGACTAAGGCATTCCGAGATCTGTTTCTCAAAGATCGCGAGTACATTCCAATAGTAGCAAACTATAATATAGCTCGAAGTTAGATAATTTCATTTTTTTTGTTTCCTTTTACACACATGAAAGTACAAAGAGTATTTGTTTAATTCGGAAGCGGTTTTCTTTAAATTTCGACAGTCTTTTACATTATGATTTATCTTGACACATTTCGCGTGAAATACATGGTGAAACACGACGAGATTTGAAGAAATACAATTATGAGGAAAAGTTCACAATATAATATTAATTAAAGATACATACCGGGAACGACCCGATAATATCATCGGTGAAACTTAGACTTTTAAGACTCTATCGATCAAATGTACCGCGTCTCGTTAGTATTTTTTGCATACCACGAGGTATGTAGATCTAAAAACGATTTTACTTGATAATACCATCTTTGTTAAGCACCGAAAAAAAATCAAAACTTTTCGATCTGTTTTTCATAATATAACTATCATCCGACATCCCTGATTCTACTCTCTAAAAGTGGATCAGTGAAATCATCACTAATTGTCAGTGTATATTATTATTCCAGTGGCATACTTAGAACTGTGATAAACAGTGACTATTTCGATGTCGCTTTCAGTGATAATATACTAATTCAAACAGTGAATATCACTGAAAGACAGTGAATTTCACTGTCAAATAGTCAAATTCACTGTCTTTCAGTGATATTCACTGTTTAAATCAGTATATATTATCACTGAAACGACATTGAAATAGTCACTGTTTATCACAGTTCTAAGTATGTCATTGGAAAATGACACACTGACAATCAGTGATGATTCCACTGATTCACTTTTAAAGAGTATATAGGTAATTTTATTCGAATGATAAACAGAGGATTTCTGAAGTGCCTTCGACGAGAGATCGACAAATGGAGATGCAAACCGAACTTGCGCCTTCGTTACTGGTGGTGTTTGCGAAACAATCTTCAGAAGAGCGGTTACCTGAGAGCATTTAGGCGCTTATGATAGACAATAATTATCTATTATTCCGGATAATTCGCCCGTGATCGCGAATACGGACGTGAGAATTGACTTTTCGCACATTATTATATCTTACATAGCAGGGAGACTACTATTGACTCGTTGACCATTGTTAACACTTTTTTTTTTTAATAGGATGGCGTGTTGGCGATAGATTAGAAAGATTCAATTTTTACCAAAACACCTCTATATAATATATTTATGTAATGTAATGAATAATATCCAACAAACGCGAAACAGAAAGATTTACGTTATTGCGTATCCGATAAAGTACAAAGATCCATATTTCGCAATCGCTTCGTGCGTGTCTCGAGCCGGGTCCGGGTTTAAGTAAGCAAGCGCGAAAACGAATAACTTGCACTTGAACGGATGCACGAAGGACCACGCCAATAGGTCCGTCCGGCTGTAGACAGCGTAAGGAAGATTGGTAGCACAGTCAACATCGAAATCGGAGAATACGATCAACACATTGTATAATGTTAAAGATCACTTGTACGTTTATGCGAATTTACTAGCGCAGCCTACAAAGAGCTCGATCGCGCGAACAGGTTGGTCCTGCGATCCCGGATGGTTGTGTTGTCCGTCTCTTATTTAATATGTACGTTTTCTTTGTACGTGTGGCAATGGTTTCTGATATTTACATTCCACTTTCTCGCCACTTTCTGGCATTTTTACTTATTTAACTTAATATTTAATTCGCACAACCTTCCTGGACGGATCGACGGGATCGACCTGCCGGTCGCGCGGGACCATACTCATAGATTTATATAAATCTTTTCCATTTTTTATACATGTTTATACACATATACATACATATATATATAGAAATATTTATATAGGATATTCACCAAATTATTGCGATTTCTTTCATCTGCGGGCTCTTTGACACACACCTCAAAGTTAAAGTTTATCAACATCGAAGTATCTATTAATTTTTTAACGAATCATTCAAAAAACTTTGATCTTTATTCTGTGATTCAGTTTGCAGATCTGGCAAATGATAAAATCTAATATTTCCCTCAGGTAATTCAAAATTCACCGAAAGAAAAAGGAAGCTTGCCCAAGGGGCAATGAAAATTTCTCTTGGATCGGTCGGAGAATCCGCAGCTATTCGAGAGAAATGGCAACAGTTTTCGGGTGCATGTAAACAGACACGCTGAGAGAAAGAGAGATGCTAAGAAAGAGAACGAAAGTAACGTCGAGAGTCGACGCGCGTCCGGGCCACGGGTCGCACGTCAGTATTTTTGATATCAGTATTTGCGAACGCGCTCGCGTTTCTACCTGCCTGCCTGCGAGATGGTGCAGGATTATATTCGTTGCACATCTCTACCCATAGCTCTTTAACCATGATCTTCATCATGGACGCCGATCCGATTCTGGCGGAGTTTTGTCCGCCAAACGCGGAGCTGATCGGCCGAGATCGGCCTCGTTTACTCCGAGACTCTTGTTACCGAATCCTTATCGCTTAATATTTAAGTACACGTTTTATACGTTTTCTCGCCAACTTTTCCGTCTCTCTTTTTAGTCCTCGTTTAAGGTTTTTTTTAAGCGTTAACGGGCAAAAGGGGGGCTGATTGAACCAATATCGCAACGCCTTCCCCCTTCGTTGCACCTCGGTATTTAATTTAATATTTTTAGTTCTATTTTTTCTTTTTCTCTTTTCTTTATTTGGAAGGTTTATCGAGCGGAAGAATGTTTATCATATAATGGTCTTTTATATTAATATTATAACTATTATTAATATTATTAATAAAGAAATATTCTTTATTTCGGGTTATTTTTTAAAATCGAGTTGTTCATTTTTTTCACCCGAAACTCACCTCTCACTCTTTATTAGCGATAACAATTTTATATATATCACTTGTCAGCAAGTTTTTTTGATCATTGACAATTTTATTACAGAAATAAAGTCAACTACGTTAAAAATTAATTAAAAGAACTTTTCAGATCTCATCCTTAAAATGTATGAAAATTTTATAGGCTTTATAAAAAGTAAAATTAATCAATGTCAAAAATAATTTTTTTATATAAAGTATTTCTTTGCAAAGAAATCTTGTTATTATACTAATTATCTTATGCTGTTAAATAAAGTATGTATCAGAAATGAATAATATGAAATGACATTTCATATTATTCAACGTTAAAAAATACTGAAAAAATGTAAAAAATATATCGAATGAGATGTCCTCTTGTGTAGTCGTAAAGTATTAAGTACATCAATTAAATCTCTGTTTCTTGATAATTTCTATGTTTACTTTTCTAGTTCATTCATATTTACGAATTTGCAAGCTACAAGGTGTCTCCGTGTGTGACTTTCTTTCACGAGTGGCAATCAGCATTTTAATTGATATCGATCTAACCAACGAATGTGTATGCTTTCAGCGATCTACCAGCAATGCACCGATGCCCCGATGTACCCTTGCGACACCTGCGACAGGCAATATCGAAGAATCATCTCTCTGCAGCGTCACAAGAGACTCGAGTGCGGCAAGGAGGCCAAGTTCGGATGTATGATGTGCCATGCCAAGTTCAAGCACAAGCACAGTCTACTGAGGCATTACAACGTTCACATGTTCGACATGAAGAATTCGTTTGTGGGCGAGAAGAACTCCGCTTGACAGGCAAAACGACAGAGGCTCGCGAGAACTCAGTCACGGGGAGACACCAGATATTTTCGAATCGCTGAACAGTTTCGAGTTCGAAACACAGCAGAAATATAAAATTTATGCGTTAATTCCCTCGCGTGAATAACTCGAGATAGATATGATCGATGTAAAGATCTTTTAGATACTTTACATTTTTTTTATAAATCAGACAATTGTGCAACTAAACGGCAATGATAAATTTTATTTAGATGCATTATTTTAAACTAGTTGCTCGAATTTGTTGAGAGAGAGAGAGAGAGAGAGAGAGAGAGAGAGAGAGAGAGAGAGAATATGTTACTTCCGTACTTATTTTGCAGTATTTTCTAACTTTATTAGAATACAGAGTTAAACTAATAGAAACATTGTTTGTAATTAAAGATTTTTTTCTTGTTGAAATAACATAATAGTCGTGATTAAAAAATTATTACAATATATACCAAATAATAATATATAAAGTGGTTCCTAAGAATTATTAATGTCTGTTTTAAATGTTACAACAATATGAAGAGTGATGCTAACTGATAAGTGCTAATTAATTATTAATTATTATATATTTGTTGGCAATATTTTAAATACAGTCGGGAATCGAGATTCTATTGCAGCTATCGAATTTTGTAGTGCGCCATTTTACAAAAATACATACCATGTTGCAAAAATTAGATTAATCGATGTCTATTCTCTTCCAGATAAATTTCTTCCCTGATGAAAACCGCAGTTTTAGATCGATTTACCGAACTCGAAATATTGCATTAGAATGTCTGAAACAATCACTCGAAATGGGATGTCTATCATAAAATCAATCTCAAGTATAGCGCGCATATCATTTCGAGTCGATTCAATGTGATATTATAACTCACAATCATAATTAGTTTTAGCACTAGTTTTAACACTAGTAAACATTTTTTATCTTTTCTCGTCATACCTGATTTCGATGCGTTAATTTCGATCTTGTATGTAAATGTTAAGAAGAAAATTTACGAATGTTCAATGTACAATAAAGACCATAAGTCTTTGTTTTTTTACAAAATATATTTCTATGTTCCCGTTGAATTATTGTTATCTTTTTAAAGATTTTGTAGAATTAATGGAATCTGTTTAGCAAACTGCCTTTATTTCATTAAAGTTTTCTGCATTACTTTCTCAGAGTACATTTTATTTCATTTTTATTGAAAGTTTTCAACGACGTTAATATTCTATTTTGTATATTTATGTATATATAAATTACTGTACAATATATGACGTGTATCGCGCACTGAAATAATTTTAGGAAATTTAGCGTTTACGAAAATTAAATTCTCAATTATAAATGAACGCTGGAACGAAACTATGCTGGAAATTGGATGAAAAATTTAGGAACGAATGATCATAATTAATTTGAACTGTCGCTACAATTTTACAATTTAATTTTGTAAAATGTCCGATATCTTTGTGCTATTTGAAGTTACCCATAATAATTCCTCAGTAACAATCCTCATGTTTCTTTTTCAGGGTGTTACCCGAGTTATGGTGCGTTGGACACTGCATCGACACAAACAACTGAAGTGAAATTGGCCTCTGCAGACAATTCGATTATAATCGAGGCGGTTTGGTCCGACTCAGCCAAATATACGTGCAACGAGTGTTCCTATAAGACCAATAAGAAATACACTTTGCGCAGACACATCATGAATGCACACGGAACCAAATATGCGTGCAGCAAGTGTTCCTATAAGACCGGCAAGAAATACACCTTTCGCAGACACATTATGAATACACACGGAGCCAAATATACGTGCAGCAAGTGTTTTTATAAGACCGAAAAAAGATTCAACATGAACAGACACATTATGATAAAACACATGGCAAAGCTGCGGAAGAAAGTGTAATTGCTAAACTCCGACCAATGATATTCATGATAAAATACAAGAGAAATAATCCGGGAAATAGGATGAAAAAGCACGTTGAGGACAAGAATTTTTAAAGGACATCCAAATTTAAAGGATGTCTAAATTTGTCGTAGGATTTTAATACGTCCTCATTCTAATTTCCTATTTTTATTTTTCGTTATTTATCTTTATTTTTACTGTATCTGTTTTTTACGTTCTCTTAAATTACATCTCGATGTTTTTATTTTTAGTGATCTAGTAAAAGGTGGATGATCTTTTTATTTGCAGTTAAGAATTGAATAAATTTATGGATAACAGTTTAATTGCGAGCAGAGAAGGCCAATTGTCGAATCTTTTAAGACGATATTGATCTCGACCGATCAATTCCACGTTGGGCGACAATATGATTTTCTTATTTAGTTTCTTCTACATATAATATAATATAATAAATTGTTTTTATATTTTAGTAACACGCGCGTGTAAAGTTTAATTTTAAATATTTTCATTTCTCACGAACTTTAATCTGCGGTATAAGTAGGTATTGTGTATCGAGCGTGCTATCTTATGTAGCTAATGTTATATGAGATAAATATAAGTAATTAATCTATAATCGATTATAATGGCTTATATAATCTTTATAATATTATGGTTACTTGACGAAATAAAGAATGGATGCGAGCACGAGATTTGCGAGTAGAAGTGATTTCTTAGAAATGATTCGACCAGCACATTGCCATTCCTTTATTAACAGTCGTGTTTCGTTTCTCGTGTATTTCCGCAGATTATTATCGCAGAGGCAGCTCGGCTCCTTCATCGTTCGCGAAGTTCAACTGCGAGTTCTGCGGCAAGATTTACAGGAGCTCGGGCTCACTGAAGTACCATCGGAATATGGAGTGCAGGAAGGAACCCAGCTTCGCCTGCACCTTCTGCAGCTACAGGTCTCGCAGGAAAAGCAACCTGCTCAGACATATGCAGGTGCACTATCGCTTCGTCCAGTAAGGGCGCATACAAAACACTTGACCATAATACTCTTCCCCCGGATACGACTCTATCTATTCTATTGTATATTTGAAATAAAGGTTAGACCTTGTTTCCATAACTCGCTACTTTATTTCCTCCTTCCGTCCTGCAGAGGTATAAAATTTACGGGATTTTCCTGGATTTAAACGAAAATTGCGTAAAATTTTGAACAAGACCCATCGCTCATTCACAATCGTAATATTTCATTCATGGAATTTGGTTCTGTTGCCTATATTATCAACTCTATGCCATTTACGCATCAAAATTTTATGTCATTTCAGTTATCCGCGGATGAGGGTGTCTAAAGGCAAGTAAGCTTCTTGGAGCAATTTATTCATTGCAGTCTCTCTTATAACTCAACATACAATACTCATATCTAAGAAGACAGTCGAACAGTAGTTCATCTATTTTCGGTTTTTTTCAGGTAAGCGGCTTGGTTATCACAACAAGATGATCATCATTCCGCGCCAGGATTTATGTAAACCATGCTTTAAATACGTCAAGACATCCGGCTCGCTTTCATCGCCAGGGCAAGGTGAAGAAGTTCCAGTTATAATTATCGCTTTCATAAAGGATATTTTTCGATATGTCGCTAAATTACATTCGGTAGTGCCTAACAAGAAATAGGTGACTCTACGAATTTTGAAGCAAAAAGTCGATGATTTTCGAATTAATCACTCATCTACGGATTTTGAAAACGTAAAGATTTTTTTAGAGACTGACAATAAAATTGAGGTAGGGTCAATTTGGATGCAAATATAACATATTTGTTATAAAAGTGTTCAAACACACAACATAATTTGACATATTTTAATATATGAAGTTACGTATATTAAATTTTCTGTTTATTTGAATTTTCATTCCGATTAAGCAATGCAAGTTATTAAATCAGTTAAATAACGTTATATAATTTATGTAATGTTAATTATTAACAATTAGCATTATATTATATTGTGATATATCTAATATAATATGATTATATTAGATATATTTAATTTATATGCGACACGTGATTTAATTTAAAAATGCACCCAAGGTGTAAGATACTATCGTCTAACTTATGCATTATATTTTTATGATGCAAATAATTTTGTGTAAATTGATTATATATATATGGAAAAAATGAAATTTAACAAGAAGAAATTGACAAAAACAGTATATATTATTTGTAATTTTCTGAAATATTTAAACGTAAAATTTTAGAAAATAAAAGCGAATATTAATAATTATATCTGATTTATATAAGCAGATAAGTAAAAATTATGAAATGGCTTAATTGTAGTTATTCCGAAAAAATTATGTCTAAAAATTTCTGCGACTTTTTATTATCGATTTAAAAAATATACTATAATGCTATATTAAAAGGATTATTATTCGCTAATTAAAAATAAACTGTAATAATTCCGTTTTGTTTGTATATGTATTTATTTTATGTATATAAATAACAAATTTCTTTTGGATCTTTTCTTTGGACGAGATCCCACTTACAATCATTATTCTCGAATTATTGGAATCAATGAAATGTTTGTAATTAATTTAAGATTTATTTCCTGATTATGTTTATCCTGTCATTTGTGTGAGTTAAGTTTTTTTTTTAATCCTTCCTACAATTTTTTCTTTAACGAGATTCAAAAATTCTGCAGTCACAAAATTATAATTTTTCAGAATTATGAAAATTTTTCCAAAATTAACAGTATTTACAACTAATTTTCAGATCCGCTTCCGAATTCGGTTTATATTCAATTATATACATTAAGACTATACCCCACAGATTTCTCGCTAACAATATTCCAGGAGTTATCGAGGATGAGCACGAGTCGCACGTTTGATTTCGGCGACACGGAGCCTCACGTAGGACAGGTGGAACCGATCTAAAGCTATTTTTTCTCCCGTTTGCAGGTACGGCGAAGGAGAATAGGGGCATGATCAATCTATCGGAGGACGAATCTATGGATTTGCCGCTACAAATGGCGATGCCGTTCGCCGAGCTGAAAATACCGCAAGCTTGGCATTACGTCAACAAACCGCAGGGTCGATTCACCTGCAGCAAATGCAGTCGTTCGTACAGGCGGAAGGACTCGCTGCAACGCCATGTGCAGTGGGAGTGCGGCAAGGAGCCGCAGTTTGTGTGCCCATATTGTCCGCAACGTTGCAAGCGCAAAGCACACTGGCAGCGTCATATACGTCGCCAGCACAAGGATAAAGCGGATATGGAGAGGTACCTAGGCTCCAGCACGTCGAGAATAGAGATCGATTGATCTCGGCCGACTCGATGCCGGAGCAAAGGGTGATTTCTCTCAAATGTAAAATCGCGCGATAAGAATCCGAGGACTGTACCACTCGGTATCCGGCAAAGAAAAATTGAAGAAAGTTTTTGATGCATGCGTGATATTTTTTTAGTGACTTTTTTTTAATTGCAGATTACGAAGATATTCTTGATAAAAATTTACCAGAATGTTACCAGATATATTTAATAATTATCGTTCAAACATTTGAGAACATTTTGCGAGATGAAAGATAAATCAAAATCTCATCAAAAGTAATTCTACATATAGTAGTCTGAAAAATCTTTTCTATCGATAAAGAATCTTCATCTTAAATAACAAATCTTGTGGAATTTAAGTATTGAAGTAAATATTTTATGGTTTTTTTTATTTTTTTTCCTGAAGATATACTAAATATTATTTGTCTTTATATTTCTTTTTTTATCTGTACATAAACTCGTCATAAATGAGAAACTTAAATACACACACACACACACACACACATTCTTTTTTTACACATACACACACATTAGAAGTTACAATTAAAACGAGTTTTATGTACAGAACGTATGTTTTGCTAAATTCATTACAATTTTGCACCCAAAAATGATTTAATTGATTATATTAATGAGTGGTGTTTATTTAATGTGTGTTTTATTTCTTAATTCGTAAAATTTGATTGATAATATAATAGATTAATCAATTTAACGAGCCAGAGTGTTTTTTTGTGTTTTAAGCAAAGTGCCTTTGACGTGAAGTATTCAGTTATTAAAATAATAAGTGCCAGTAGAGAAAGATTTCTCTTACGTCGATGAGAAAAATGCTGTGTTTTTACATTAATCCAATTAATTCTGTGTTAGGGGATTAGTTTTAAATCGTTAGTTTGTAAGTACCGTGACTAATATTTTTCTACATTAATCCAAAACACGTAATAAGTGAACTTAAGACTGAATTGTTGCATTTCGCAACAAGCGTAAATACACACGCCGCTATTATTAATTCGATTATCGACTGATCATGTATTTTTGAATGAGATATTGTATTCGAAATCTATCCTGTGTGTTTAAAGAAAATAAATTTGTATCATCGAGCTATCCCGTAACTCATCTTATTGTCAGCCAGTGATTATCTCGTTTCCATAAATAATCAATTTACGCATTCGAAGAATTGTGTTCTACAGCGAATTTAATTATCGTTCACTTCGTAATTCCAGCTTGTAAAATCGACATATTGCGTTTCGAAAGGTTATTTATTACCCAACTTTACCCTTACAGCTTTCAATCATACGCTATTACATCGTATTTTATAATATATATCCTAGGTTAATTAGCGATATAAAAATTTATACACCTATGATTAAATTAAAAAAAAAAAACAATAACTCCCTCAAAGTAAATTTACCTTTAAATTTTCTGTTACAAGCGAAATAGTTGAAATACGATCATGGATTATCTTATCAGTCGACGACTGAATCGAGAGTTTAGCATTCATAGGAATAATCAAAAATAAAGAATTATGCGAGCAAGTTATAAATAAATCATGAAAAAATTAAACAAATTTCAATAGTAACCGCTATACGAGAATTTCTCCTCTGTAAATAATTGATCTTTTTGCATATCTTCGGTTGGTTCAAGCATCATTGCGAGAGCTACTTAAGCAATTGAGTACACCCTTGGCATCTCTTATCTCTTTCTCCTGCCTTCTCCACCTGTACGATATCAGGGGAGTAGCATGCGCACTAACCTTTCTCGAGTCTTGTATATAGAAATGCCACTTATCGAACTTTCATCGCTTGCGCATCGAAAGGAACATTCACCGTTCGGCTGGCACCATTTGGAGTTCTGACGAAAAAAACAAAATCTTACAGAACTGCCTAAACGAACTGTTGGTCTCGGATCTGTGAATGTTACTTTCGTAACATGCAGTTACCGCTCCTTCCTCGTATGCGAAGCTCATAACTAGCTGCTTGGGGCTCGAAAGTATAGGGATACGAAGGACACGCATTTTTTTTTCCTCTATCCTCCTTGACGAGTGATCAGCGCCGGTCGTTGCCATCGATGCACCTGCGATCGAGGATGGGCCGCGAGGCTCGCAAGGATCCAGCGATCCTTGGAGCGTGGCTCTTCTTCGAAATGGCTTTCTTTCTAGGATACATCGAGGAGGTGCCCCCCCTCCGCTCCCGACAACAACCTCGATCTCTATCTACTCCCCTCTGAACTATTTCTTAAATACATGAACGAGGGTCCGTCCGAGGAGAGAACGAGGGAAAAGAGAAGAGGCGGGTGTGGAGTGTACGAGGTCGCGAAGAGGCACGTCGGAGGGTACCAAATCAGCGAGCCGTCGACATCGATCTATAAAGCCCCGTCCCCTAGCCGCTAAGCTCTAATTCTTAAGTCGAAAGCCGGGGAACGACGAACCGGGTACTGTCGGTCGCGTTTCCCACACCCGAACGCTTGGCAACGCAATAAAGATTTTGCCTCAACCGCGTTCGCGCGGGACACATACTAATAAAGCCGGGGGTCTTGTGTTCCAGCCGAGGACTTGAGCATCACCGGTCTCAAATGGGCGGCGGCCTGGCAACGATGGAGCGTGCCGTCGATCATGTGGCGGTCCGGGGCTGGCTTGGGCAAGGGCCTGGGCTCCGGCTCGTCTAATCCGGAGGGTTTCAATTGTCCGGCCTGCGGCAGGGTCTACAAGCTGAAGAGTAGCCTGAGAAACCATCAGAAGTGGGAGTGCGGCAAGGAGCCCCAGTTTCAATGTCCTCATTGCGTCTACAAGGCGAAGCAGAAGATGCATATCGCGCGGCATATGGAGCGAATGCACAAGGAGAAGATTTACAAGCAAGAACTCGTGTAAGGTGACGAGGAGGGGGGGGAGGGGGGAAGAGAGGGAGAGAGAGTGGATGACCAATGCTCGTCGTCGGCGTCGTTTATGGGCGCGATCGCGCGCGGGAGAGACCACGGGAGGAACGAAGAGGAAGAACGGAAGAAGTGATACGCGCGAAGAAGGGAAGACGCGTCTCTCTCGCGCACGATCGACGCCCGGCATATACGACTTCGAAGAGAGCGAAATTGGGAAGGGGATTAAGAAGAAGGAACTTGGGAAGGATTTGAAGTTGGTGTACAATAACGTTGAGATGAGAACGGTAATTGATTTTTAAAGACGACAGTGAGCGTCGAGACTTCTGCTTCTCGGGAGAGGGGACCGCCCACCCCCTCATCTCGATCTTGGATTCATATTTTTTTTATCCTTTTTTAAGGTTTATTATTATGTGAATCACATAATTGATTGATTAATTAATTAATTAATTATTATTTTTACGTAACGAGATATATGCCGCGTGTAAACAAGAGAACGCGTCGATTTCCCGCCCGGGGCGCACCTCGTATGGCCCAGGAACTTCAGCCTCGAGCCCGTCGAGACGGGAAATGTTTGTTCATCGGTTCGTGCCCGACGGATCGCTTGCTCATCACGTCGTTTTTTTATGCTTGAACCGCGATATTGACGTGATGAAATCACGAGAACGGAATTCGCTTTCAGGCGCGATTTCGTTCTCGATGACATCTAAGGTAGTGAAGCGATCTCGTGGCAAACGCGGGCTCGAGGCGTAATTAGATCGTTAGAGAGAATTTTTTTTCAACGTATTTCTTCTTTTCTTCCGAGGGCCCGCTCCGGGTCGGACTGAGACCGTCCGGTAAACCGGAGCTCTTCCATAGCAACCATTCTGGTCACACTGGTTCCATATTTTTAAACGGGCGCAGCCGTGCGCGTGTGGCTCACTGGGGACATCAAAAAAAAAATCGAGAAAGAGAGGGGGGAAAGAGATGCGAGAGTGGGTGAGAGAAAGCGATTATTCCGAAGAGATCGAAAACGCGGCCACGTCAGCAAACGTCCGTCGACCCGATACACATTACAGATATTCGCGCGATACATCGATAACGTACGACTGCAAGCCACGAAGTCACGTCAGTATCAACGACGATAAAGTCGCTCAGAAGACGGCCCTGAATCCTCAGAGGCTGATCTTCGAAAGCGAGCCAGAACTTCACCTCTTTCAGGCCAGGCCAGCGGCCATGCCGTTAATTTCACGTTACGCAGTAACGGCGGGTGCGAATGACATTACGGGGTGAACGAAAGTGAGCGAAAATTGGAAATCTTATCGCTGACTCACACTGTCTATCATCGATCTTGGCTTATTTTTGGTCGGTATAAATAGTTATTGTTCCTTTTTGTTGGAGTGTGAGTTCTTTATTTTGACGCGATTTGATTTTGAAACGCAGGTGAAATACAAGTTCCTGCATTCAATATAATTTCCTTTAATGAAATCGTATTTCCAGAGAATCTTGCGAATTGCAAAATGTCTTCTCAATTTTTCATTTACCGTTCAAATCTACTCGCTCGTCGTTACGGGACATACACGTTTAACCCAGTGAGAGATTTATTAGAGATTCTTTTTAATATATTTAGAAACCTAATTAATATATCTAAAAAGATATATATTGAAATTTTTTTCTATTTAAAAATTTATTTATGAAACTTGCAGGCAGGTGTTTATAAAATATTGAGTTTATTGGCATATATTTAGGGTAAAATTTATGTTTATTATTAGAAAGAGGTACGGTAAAATTTATTACGAAATTTATTGCGAAATTATTTTTTGGTGTATAGTAGATATAAAATATTTATTGCGGAGTGATATACGTTTCGCGCGCGTAAGTTATATTTTAGAAAATTCTCATGAAAGTGTTAATAATTTATCCATTTAATTTTCCTAACTCTAAATCATTTCGTTATATTTCGGAGAATATTTTCGCGACGAAATTATATTATTAAAATTCTATAATACGCGGATATATATTATACAATTACTGTAAATTAAGTCAATTTATTCATACTACTAATATAATATTAGTCACTCGTACTACTAATTGTAGATTTAGATGATATTCTAAAAATTGCACGCAGAAAGACGGGAACGCCGCCTGTTAAACTGACGGCCTGAAAGCGGTGAAGAAGCTTCCACAGTCTTGTCCAGGCACAAGACAGCCATTTACACTGTATTCCTCGCAGCGATGCAACCACAAGCAAACACAGTATTAGGCACGGGATTCGCGTGGATTGTCTCCCGCATTTCGTTATGCTTCCTACATACATATTCGAACATACCCCGCATCCTAAGTAAGGAGAGATAGAGAGACAGACGAGAGAGGCATCCCCTGCATATACGTATTCACACGTATATGTCTACACACTCGCAAACTCGCGCGTGGGTGCGAATACGCGTGCACACGCATCCGTACATGCACGTTTACACAATACATACACATATATATTTATATACATACATATAGATATATTGCCCACACTACCGCGAGGTATTCCTACAGCATTGTGATCGCCAGACTGCCAGATACACAAACGTAGATTCCTATATGATGCATTTAAGAGTATATATATTTATATTATGTAAAGCGTATGATTAACTCCTTTTAATTAAGCGTCCTCGTTAAGGCCCCTCGCGTATTCTTTCACACACACGAGTCTTTATTTTCTCTTCTTCCACATTTTGGTCGCGCGCGATCGGGTCGACGGGCATGACGAACGGCCGTGTACCGAGTACGGTACCGCAAACTTCTTGCAACACATGCGAGACGGTCCTAAATGGTAGAGCACTTCTATACAATGGAATAAACAATTATTCCATTTTATTTCTGATAAAAATGTAATGCTTATTTATTTGAGCCATATCTATGATTTTCCTCTTCGTTAATTCAACAATGATAATTAAATTTCCCTTTTTCATTAATTTTTTGTTTAATTTAACGTGATAACACAAACTAACATAATTGTCGATCATAGATAAAACTAAGCTTTGTTAGTTAAATAGATGATTTATTAAAGCTCAAATAATTTGTGATGTTTTGCAAAAGAATTGAGTATTAATTAGTGAAAGCTGGTAATTTCCAACTTTTACTCTCAATCAGTTCGTCAAACTTTCATTTTATTTTTTTTTTTTAAGAAAAATTCTATTGGATTATTGAATTGAAATTAAATCAACTGAATTGGAATCTTTACGAATACATCACTTATGTTTAATTCGTTAAAATCTACCAAATTGACTTTAATCTCAATCGGCATCTGAACCCGTAATAAAAATTGGGAAAGTTTAGTGCTGAACGTACGGTTTGGGCTTTTTAGCTCGTTGAAATCTGCAATATAATCAAATACTCGAACCCAGGTATCCGTACTCGGACGCTATCTGGCACCAGGTCCCGTATTCCTACGCCACGCCAAATGCGCGCGCCACGGCCGCCCGACTTTCCATACTGTAGACAATATTTATGAGACAAGCTAAACTATACTACTATTACTACTATTATTACTACTGCTACTATTACTCGTAACTCATGTATACAGTTAAGTATGCGCGACGGCTGAAACGCGAGCGAAGCGATAGATTTAGTTTTCCTTTTCTTGTGGGCGTGCGAGCGATCGCGCGCTCCTCGGCGAGCGGCGCTCGCGATCGATCCTCAAACAATCGTGACGAAGTCTCGAGCCAGTCAAACGGCGGGTGACTTCACCACCTCAGAAGGTGAAACTCCCGTCCCTCGAAATTTCCCGGATTACATGAGAGTGCGAGGATAATCCCCGCATACGTGGGGGAATGCATACAGAAATGACTGTAACTGATATTATTTGTATGTATGCACGGTATCCGTATCATGATACGGTGAGCGTTAATATTTTCATTTCCATGGTTTTAGTATCTAAAGATACATAATAAAAAACAATATCTGTGTAATACGGAGCAACACGTTTGCATGTGTTTTTAAAATAACTGGATGTCCCGATCTAGTTAAGTCATGTCTAACATTTCTAAGAATTTTTAGTTATAGTCCAGAAATTCATTGCTTTGATGGATTTTTCAGTACACTGTCAAAATCATGCAACTCTCTTATCTGAAGTTTATAAAAATATCTCATCTTCTATGCTTTGCAAATCTTTTGAGAAATTTATAAATTAGATTTACGTTATAAGATACATTGTTTTATATTGTATAATATTTTAGCCTCAAAATTGAACTTTTTTTAATATACAGACAATATCAGTTACAGTCCTTGCACTCTCTACTTCATACGGAGGAATCCTTAGACAATAATACGCATCCAGGAAACTCATAATGCTTTAAATTTTTAACAAAGTTCTTCAATAAGTTCGGATTGTCTTTGAGTTTTAATTACTGAAGAAATAAGATATTTTTTATTTTTGAAAATAATAATAAATTATTGAACGCACTAAATCTTTAGGATTTTTAGGAAATTGTTGATGTGTATTTTATTTGATAACAAAAAATTAGATTTGATTCGCAATTGTGTTTCTTTTTTTGTTTCGACACTGAATGTATGTCGAAATAGGAAAAGAAGCAGAAGTGCCACAAAATTTAACATAATTTTCTTTGGCCGTATGAAAGCGGAAGAACTTTGACTTGACTTCCTGGATGGTATCAGCTCCACAACTTGGAGTCAGATCGTAGGCCAGAAGGACTCATCTTCCGTCCAAGTGCAATAACTATTACTAATCTATCCTTTCGGTCCCGAGCTACTAGAACCGACGCGATCCGCGTGGTTTTCCTTCTTTTTGGAAATCATCGACGATAGTGTTTTACTCCCCAGACTTCGTCCGGTCGATCGATAGTGGCCGCATGCTGATGCGTATCATATAGTAAGCGAACAAAAAGATTAAGGCATCAGAAAAGAAAAATAGAAAGAGAAGTAAGAGGAGATCTCAGCGAGAGAAAGAGAAAGGGTGTGTGAGAGCGAGACGATTTCGATCGAGGGTGTCAACATTCACTCGTTCGTCGATTGCTGGATGTTTAATGAGGAAAGACAGACGAAGAGCCAGGGCCGAAGATCGTAAATTGATAAATAACGTGAAGCGTATCGTATGGGTATAATGTTGATGACGACGAGAAGAGAAGAATGAGACGTGGTCGACGATGATGACGTTTACGTGTAGCAGTTGAAGAGAGCGGTGACATGGTAAACGATAGAAGTTAATTGATAAATATGATTATGGATCGATGATACATAGTTATTGAATGATAATTGATAATACTACTGCCTCACGAGGCCTTGATGAAATGGCGGCGGTCGAGAGAGAAGTACGATTAAGAAGCGGATTGGAAACTGGCTGTAAAAGCGAAACACTGCAGTGCTCGAGACGTGTCTCGTGAGGGGTAACGCCAACGGACCGCCGTCATCGACGGAGATTATTAGATTATTAGTAACATAAGAGTACTATTAGGTAGGTCCTAGCTCTTAACGACTCTTTTTTCTATGTTTTTTCTAAGAGGAAAGGAAGGGAGCGCGCGCCTAGGGCGTTTTTCTTTTCCCGCGAGAATTTGTGGTCGCGCCGATCCGAAGAGGTGTGTAGAGAATATAAAAAGGAATATAAATAGAGAAGATAGATCGAAGGCAAGAATGAGAGTGCCAGCGAAAAGAATTGTCGTGTGGACAGCAACGAAAGTGATAATTATAGTGATAAAATCGGAGGAGAGGAGTGAGATATCGTTCGGTAAAAAGAAAATGGCAAAAGTGATTTGTGTGGGAAAAAATGTGGGGAATAAGAAACTTGCAGATAGCGACGCGACACGGTTATTTCTGTCCGAAATCGATATTATCTTTCGCTTGGCTCTAATCGATCAAGTTTTCGTCAATAAGACAATTAAATCGGCGAATTAAAAAAAATCGCGGATCGTGCATCGAAACCTTATTTTCATAGGAGACCTCGTGTGCCTTATCATTACAATTAAACTTTACGGCAAACGTACTGACGTTTCGACACAAATAACGTTTATCTAATTTTGGATTGTTAAAAGTATGTATTTTTAAAATACATATACAAGCAATTTTCGTCAATATCAGTCATTAAACTTGAAATGCATGTCAAGCTGAAGGATTTTTTTAATTGCAAAAATTGAATTTAAGGCGCATTTTACTTGATTTAAATATAATAATATCAAAATCACATATTTCTTTGAAAGTGTAAAATCAAACAAAGGTGAACGAATCTTTTTCTTATACTGCAATTTAAGAAATTTAAAAAGTAGATATAGTTTTTCATAGTTTTAAATTAAAATACGTTACAAATTCAAGTTTTAATTCCAATTTTAAATAAGATGGAAATAGAAAGACAGAATTAAAATTTACACGTGAAGTATGTTAGAAGAACACAGTTCTCTTTAAGATCTTTAGTCCATTTTATATCCTAAAAATACATAAGATATTAATATCTACGATTCCGTCGATTTGACCAATTTGCCGAGATTCACGAATTCTTACGAAAAGAATTAGAATTAGGTTAGAGTCAGATCTGAAAGATCGAAAAGTATGAAGATAAAGAGACGTCACATTTTCATTTTTCTTTACATCCTGTTGATAAGTCGCCTGTTATCGTAACTGCTGTGCCAAGTTTCTGTAAGTTGCTCCTGGGAGCCGAGCTTGTTCCTTTGCTTATTAATCGAAAATACTCCGATCCATGAATAGCGTTGTTCTTTTACTTTAATTAGGTAAAAAAGATCCTCTAATTTTTTATAATTTAACAGGAAAGATAATATCTGGACTATCAATAATAAATTTCACTTATTAAAAATCTAAAATATAAATGCATCAGCAATGACTTTTTTTTATATAAATAACTAACTGATTGTATACGTGCAATTAATATTTTTTAAATCAAACTGTTTCTTGAACAAATCGTGTCTTTAATTTTTGAAATAAATGTGTTACGAACTGTACGAATTTTTATTATCAGATTATTTTCATAATGAAGAAATTTATAAGAAACGTTATACCATGTGATCGAGGAAAAAATATTGACTACGTTACAGGCTCGTTATTGTATTTTCCCTCGCTAATGGGATTTAATTTGGATTTAAGTGAATATAATTATTACATATTAATGAGTAGGAATAAAGAAAAAAAAAGAATGTTAGGTAAGGAATGTGATGGATATTGATCGAACCGCGGATATTCTTCCTTCGTTGTATATTCTTTCAAGATATTCGACTCGTTTTCTCTTCGTTCGATACGTCTGCACGCACTTACGGCGGCTTGCACACTCTCGCTTAGCTCTGTTCAAAATTTAAGCGAAAAGGGGAAAAAAAAGGTAAAAGGATAAAAAGAGAAGCGACGAGCGACGGCAACGACGACGACGATATGATGGAGGGAAAACGGCGCGACCGCGTCGCGCTGACGATATTTGTAATTCATTATATACATGTGCCTTTGAAAAAACGATTTAAAATGCGTGAAAACACAAAAATAACACGGAGAAGAAACAGAGACGGGGAACGAAAGAGGGTTTGGGGATAATGCGAGGGAACGGAGGAGGATCTTTATAATCGTCCGAATGATTCGCGAAAGCCGCGGCAACGATAAACGGGAGGGCGACGCAGAGCGTCTGCGCGAAATCATTCGGCTGGCTGCCACGATTATAGATCATAGCGAGTCACACACAGATAGAGATATGTCAAAAAGTAATGGATATTAAAATGAGGGAAGAGAAAAAGGAGCAAAAGAATTCGAGAAGAGACAAGACCGACTATACGAAGCTGTCGCGTGAAACGCGTAGACTCGCGTGTCCGCCGCGTCGATGCGAAAAACTTTATGAGAAACAAAAGGAAGAAAAAATAAATAAAAGACGAGATGAAAAGTCGAGAAACGTGACCATACGAGAGAGAAAGAGAACAAGCGTGTGGGTGGGAGAGATAAAAATTTCGTAGATTTGGGATATAAGTAAGCAAAAATATTATATATGTATACATATATAGATTATATATACACAAAAGAGTACGTAGGTGAAGCGTCTTAAAATGCTTTTTACGAATCGGTCTTTGTGTTTACTTATACAGCTTTTAATCAGGTCTAACTCGAGTCTTGCGCGTAATAATTGGGCTTATTAATCTCTTTCTAATTAGGTTTTATATATTACGATTTACGGCGATTCGCGCCCGCGGCGACGCGCCATGCGAAGCGAGGAATTCCTTGCGTTTTAGATACGTTTTAGATACGTACGTATTGTTTTTTTTTCTTTTTTTCTTTTTGGTGTCGGTTTGGGAGATTGGGAAAATTCTAACCGAAACGAAGGAACAAAAGTCGACTAAGATATCATGGTGAAGCTCGATAGAAAGCGAGGCGAAACGCATTCACGGCTGTTTTACTTTGACATATCTTTTTCTGCTCTCAAGGCATGTCATTGAATCTGTTCTTGACGCGATAGATTAAATTAATTATTATCGCCTTCTTGTCTAAAAGAAAAGTATTTTATAATGAGATATATGAAGTTATACGTTTTTCAATATATAATACAAAATAATTTTCGAACGTGATATATCGCCTTCTTGTCTAAAAGAAAAGTAGTTCATAATGGGATATATGAAGTTATACGTTTTTCAATATATAATACAAAATAATTTTCGAACGTGATATAATAATGTTATTGAGATAAAACAAAAATAAGAGTAGAGTTATTTGGTTGCTTCTTTTAGATTTTAATCTCATATATATTATATTTATCCAAACAGATAATAAAAATATTAAAATAATTTTCTAAAGTTATTTTATAAAAGACATTTTGCGTTTGGTATATTATTACATATTTCGGCAAAACATATATATGCATATATTAATATATACACATATATCTATTTTATATATTAAATATATTATTAAATGTATATTATACTACATTACATATTATATCTATCATAATAAAAGATCTAATTCCATAATTTTTAATCAGTAAATTCTAAATTATATTTTTAAAATTATTTTATACTGGATACCTTAATTACAAAGCGCTTCGTTAATTGAATTATTTTGGCGATTTTTATTTTAAATATAAAAAATAAATGCGCTCGGTAAAGGCGATAATAATCGTATGTTGCGTCAAGAGCATTTGCAATGACTGGTTCCTTAACATACCAGATTATTTGACAATATACATACATCTACAGCTTGGAACTAGAACAACTCGTATTATTCTCTGTCTTGGAATAGATATTATACATTCTGTTACTTTAGGTGCCGCTTGTCGCTCGATTTCAAGCAATAGAATGGCATTAGTTGTTTCAAATTCGTTCCAGCATAGCTCGATTTTGTTTTCTCAGTTTGAATTACTCGATCGCACATCATCGGACCGTTGTTAATTTATCATACTACGCTATTCGAATGCAAAGAAAAGTTTTATGCTATTTGTAACGATTTACGAGATGCGCTACGTGTGATATTTAGATGCTAAATTTCTTTTCAGGTCGGTCGTCCGAACGGTACAGACACTCGCGATTTTAGGATAAAAATACGATTCGGCGTTGTATAGATAACAAAAGATTTATTTTTCTCTGGTATTAAACGCGGCGCGTTTATCGTTAAAAATTTATTTAACAATGCGTTTATCGAAAGTTACGTAGAATATTATAGGAGTATCCTTAGGACGTAAGAATTCCCCCGATTTGGCAGTGCCTGTAGCAGACGATCGGCCGCCCTTTTTTGTGTGTTGCACTTTTTGAGGGAGAACAAAAATTGTCTTTGGGCTAAAAAGTGATGAGAGGAATGGGAAAGTGAGGGGGGGAGGAGGGAGGAGATTGAAATGATGGATAAAAGATTTTATATACGTGTGATGAGGTATAATAACGGAACGCAAGAAGTGTTACATGCATGCCATCCAGGTATTTAGAAAGTACAGTGCTTTATTTTTTTGAAAAAGAAAGAGATATAGAAGTATATTATTCTATTTGCGAGCGGGAAAGAGAAAATTTATAAGCGTCACGCATTCACGTTTCTCAAAACGTGCGGACAGATGCTGGTTTAAGTTGCGAAAACGGACGTGATTGGGCATCCTGGTGAAAGTATGTGATGAACGAAAATTTTAATCCTTAGAACGGCAAATCGCTTGATAAAAGCTTTTCTTCACACACGTGTCGCGGTCCAGCGCATATCTCTCGATGTTTTCATATTCAATTCTACGAGAAAGTGGATATTGCACTAACACCGAAGATTTTATTAGTGAATAATTTACGAAGAATTTATCGGTGGAATTTTAAATCGATAAATTCTCTTTTGCATACTGTTCATATCTCGAATCTATTCGATATTATTAAGGAAACAGTATTGAAATGATCGCGAGAAATGAGGCAGCTAATTTATAAACCCATCTGTTTGTCGTTCTGGGGTTAATAAATGCATGCGACGCATTTTGATTATTTTGAAGACAGTCATGTAGCTTTATCGTATTTTCGGCCGTACTACTTTCAAGGAAGCCTGTTATTACGTTTAGTTTGAAGGCGAGAATGAATGACACTGAATAAATGAGAGAGATACAGAAAGAGATATAAGAGATAAGAAAGAAAGCGAGAGAAGAAATAGTGAAACACGATAAAGTTCTATTCTAAAAATCTATATATGATAGATATATATTGTATATATATCGGAAAAATGCAGATGTATTTACTAAGAGATTTTGCGATGGCAAAGGAAAGAATGTAAAGCGAGCCAATTAGTTCCCAAGTGATGGAAAAAGTCCATTGAATTTTCCAATGAATAAATCTTAACGAATATAAGAGTACGGATTTTATGCAAACAATATAATTGCAAAGCAGTTTGTATACTTGAGCTTATTACTAGATGAAAATCGCTGCCGTTGGATTTTACATCAGTTGCAGGAACTACGTGGCTCGAATGGCGAGATAGTTGGAGAAGCGAATTTCGTGGCCCTGCGATCGAGAATCGACGTTCTTCGGCGATCGGGTTCGGCGTTTAGATGTTAAGGCGTTATGTAGGCATAAAAAGAGATTTATTTACGAAAATTATAGACAGGCATGTCTAAAACTTGCGTCGGCGCGCAACGCCACGGAGAGTGAGCCCACAATGATTCGCCGCTTCTGGAGAAGACAGAAGACGAGGCGATGATTTTGCGGGCCTCTTTCATTGACAGAAAAAAAAGAGCTTTCGTTTTTGTTATGTATACACTTTCTTTCGGAATCTATTAATCATATTTATATTGTCAGCCGCTGGTAGATTATCCCGCGCGCGGAAGGACGATTCGAATTCGCGAATTCGAAGATCGGATAGAAACGATAATCCTACGTGCAAGTCGCTGCTGCGATTTTATTCAATCTAGTCGAAATTGATAAATCAATGTTGGCGCGGCAAAATGGACGGTAAACGATTTTAGGAAACATTAATTTTTGTCACCGATCGAGCACATTATATTGTATTATAGAAGTATGCACGTCCATATTGTCTTTGGGTCAACCGAAGAGTGTTAGAAATGCAATTTAAAAAAAAAAAGAAAGATCTCTATCCGATCTTCGCGAGAGAAACATAAATATTAAATGAAACATTGCATAATACTTCAATGATTTTTTTCAATGATCTTTGTCGATCATTATTGATGACTCGTCTTCGCAGGGCAACCAATTCGCTATAACGAGCGTACTCTATTGCATAAAGAAGAGAATAAAGTGTTGCAATTAGATCGATTAATCAGCTCGAAGGTATGTTACATCTATAATGTAAGAAAAGAGAGTGTCGTGCGAATGAGAGGGAAACATGCAGGGGTGCGACAGTGATGGAAGGTGAACGACACGAGAGAACGATTGTGGCTACGGTTCGACCGTCCATCGCAGAACCCCCTTAAGAGATTTTTCGAGACGTTTCGCAGAGAACACGAGAGAGAGAAGAGAAGGGAATGATCGCGGGAAAATAAGCGAATAGCTAGTAGGAAATGGCGAAACAAGAGCAAATAGCGCGTACGAGGGAGAGACGAGAAAGTCGAGACAAGTAGGTTTTGAACCGAGAGAGCCTTGTGTTAAGTGCCTTCAAAAGTACGACTTAGATTTTAGGCTATAGAAGAAACGAAACAAAAGAGGCGCTGGGCGCGTCCAGCTGTGAACGAATTTTTACGGTATTATTCGGTCAGGCGTCGCCAATTTTTTTTTTGTACAAGATTCCGGCACGCGGCGAAGCTACTCGACGTGTATCTTTAAAAAAAAAAACCGATATAAAGTTTTGACTCCTTTCTTTTTCACTTTTTTTTCAGTTATTAAGAGAAAGAGAGTATTCCCAAAAATTTTAACAAAATGTGCCCTAAAACCGTCAATAAGAAACGCTATGAGTCTTACATAGTCATTTGAATAAATTACGACAGATTAATGGAATGTACAAGTGTGAAAAACTTAATTACTATGCCTGTTTTCTACATTTATTTTTATTGTCCAAAAAGAGGCCTAAGAATTTATTTTAAGAATGACACTTTTTAAAAAAAGAAACCGACATAAGAGTACTTTTTACGACGAGTAGCTGCATCGGCCGAAATCTCCGGCGATGTTCCGCGTTCATCTCGAGACCAGTGATATTTTTTAGAAATTATTTATTTATGCTGACGAAAGCGGAATTTAATCTCAATCACTCGCCTTTATACTGCCAATACATCTGTTTAGGACGTACTCAACCATCGTTCGGTCCACATGATCAACCCTCCGCGTGATATTTTTCTCCCCTTCCTGACTTTCGCAATAACCGCAATACATGTGTGTGTGATCTTTTGCAATTTAATTACATGTCAGTTCCGTTTTTAATTCATTGCCTACATAAATCATGTTTCTTACGCATCTTTATTGTTCTTGTAACATTATTTTCTACGAGACACGGGTATGCGACACTTTCCTCGGGTTCCTTTGCACTTCGACTTTTTTTATTTCGTTTGTCTTTTATTGACAGTACAATTATATCTGTAATAAATAATAGCGAGGTCTAAATCGCGTCACGAGCGCGCGATTTGAGCACCGAGTGCGGAACGTCGCATCGATCTGCGTCCGAAACTCTGTCTCATTTTCGCTTCGATCTGATCGAAGACAACAGTCTCGATCAGTATACCCGCAATACACACCGACTTATTTAAATGTGCAACATAATCAGTTCATCCGCAGATAGGTATCGTAAATCTTATCGTAAGTCTTTACTTTTTAAGAGGACCCTCGACGGACGTTCCGCACTCGAATTTAAGTATGATACTCTTTAGTACAAGCACAGTACTCGACTGTACAGAAATAGGTAGAATGAAAGAGCGAAAAAAAGGGAGAGATTGAGTGAGTGAAAGAGAGATAGAGCAAATGAGCAAGAGTGTGAGCGAGTGAGAAAAAGATAGAGAGAGTGTGAGTGAGTGAGAAAGAAGAACACGTAAAAAGTGAAACACTACAACTTCCGCTCAGCGCCTCAAAACGCAAAACGTACTACTTGTAATCGTAACTTCTTTGTCGCCATGTATTTGCCAACGAACGAATGATTTATTATTATTTTTTTTCCTTTTGCCTTCATTTTATATTAATATTATTTAGAGAGCAACAATTATTAACGACTACGCTATGATGATAACGATAATCTTTCTAGATACTTTTTTGCTTGTTCTCTTGCGACGAATTCACAGCGACACACACACATACATACACATACATACATACACACACACAAACAGAGGCATATATACATACTACGCACGTATACGTCACGTGCATATAGGTACGTACAATACCGATATGTGAAGACTTGTAAA